TCCTTGTGTATCCACTAGAGGCTGGATGCAAAAGCCTTAGAAGTCACATACACACCCCATATCAAAGTGTCTAGTCTAACAGCAGAAATAAACACGTTTACAGCCGGCTTGGTAACTCATCAGTTTTGATTTAATGAAGGTTGAGTTATGAATAATCAGGGGGTGTGACTTGTTGACAGCAGGCAGGCGAATCGTAGCTGTTTGGCAGGAGACTTAAGGCCCGCCTCAGCTTCACCTCTTTGCCTGCTGTGTGTTAATAGACTAAAAGTTGGTGTGACACAGCTTTTCCAATATGGTGACCGCCATTGTTGGGCTTCAAAGCTCTCAATTAATAACCAACTATCATGATGAAACCACAATTTGATGCAACTTTTGACCCTGTATATATATATATATATATATATATGTATATATATGGAGGAGGCAGAGTTATGACCTACATTGCAGCCAGTCAGTCTTTTGGCTTCACTTGATGTGTCGTGTTGCTCCGTCCATTTTTTCTACAGTCTTTGGTAAAATAACTTGTGAGGGAGAAAAAGGACTACAAAGAGACACGAGGATGTATGGGGGAGGGGGGGGGGGGGGTACACAAAGAGAGAGTGACCTCTCTAAGTCTGGGTAGTTGGACTCTTGGCACTGATCTTGTGAGGCATTGAAAGGTGTCTTCCCCCCTCGGAAGGAATAATCCATTTAAAGCCAGGTCGCATCCATGTGATTGATGTGCAAACTGGAGCGGCACTTAATAACCTCTATCATGCTGGGTGACCCTGTGGCCCACTGTGGGCACCAGTTTGTTTATGGGTGGTACCTCCCGACACACTATCCGTGCAGAAATTCTGTTGTGGCTAATGGGCCGGACTGAGGGATTGGTCTGTCAGTGCTCGGTGAGCCCTCATTTTTCTTTTCCAAGCGTCTAAGGTACCCCCCTGCTACACCCCAACCTCCCTGCACCGCCGTCATCTGTCAGCGGTGACTGAGTCTCATGGAATATGGAGGCGTGAAAGAGAGTGTCAATTAGCATTAGCTTTCCCTGACAAATCTGTTTTTCTCAGCACAAAAGGCCTCGGATAACTTGTTCCTGATTCCTCCCTGTCACACCGTTGGCGGGAGAGAATTTGTTTTCCTACAATTCAAGAGTGAAAATGGGTCAAGCACGTTGTAACAAGTTTAGCACCTGGCTGCAGGAAGGTGTACTGTACATGTGAAACTATGGCTGCATCTTTGTGTGTTCTGCAGCGACAGGAAGAGAAAGAAAGAAAGAGGCATAAAGGAGATGTAGAGAAAGAGAGCGACGGGGAAGATGTGCCTCTCACACTGAGAAGCTTTTGTTTACATCATTGAAATGGAAGTCGACCTTAAAGGTTATCTCAAATGTACAGAAGATGTCAAAACGCCTGACAAGGGAGCAGCGCCTCTCTCTGAACATGGCCGTACTCGGGGGGGGCTCAGAGAATAAAATCACTGCACTGTACTACAGCTTCCTTTTGAAAGTCCCCTCTCTGTTTGCCCTCTGCTGTGTGAAGATCTTCAGCCCTAATCAGCCGCATTGTTCTGTTGCAGATGAAGTTATGGGAAGCACTAAGCTGTTTATTTATTGAACAGGCTGTTTAATTCCCCCCTCTCTGCCCTGTGCCGCGCTCTGCACAGCCCCCCCCCCCCTTTGAAGTGAGGAGCTGCCGGTGGAGTGCAAGCGACGAGCTCCTACGGGCAATGCAGCACACGATGCAACAGCAATAAGCAGAGTCCTCGTCAGCAGCAAACAAACAGGAACTCTGTGCTTCACCACAATGGTCCTGCATTTATTTATTACCTGCCTGTTTTTTTTTTTTATTAAACTTACTTTTGTGTTTGGAAAATAAATTATTTGCAATATTTTTTCTCCTCATTGTTTGAGTTAATGAAACTTACTGTGAGGAGTTCCTACAGGGTAATAAAAGAGCACAAGTTTAATGTTCATGCACTTTAGTATCTAAAAACGCAAACAAGACCCATTACACAAATAAAAAGCTTATTTGTGTAAAGTTATTTTTGATGCGTGTAACAGTCTCCAGCCATCAGACTTTTATCATCTTAGTTTACATTTTGGACAGCAGAGATTTGCAGAAAGTTGTTTTAATTCTGGGAATTCTAGTTTTCCACTCTGTGATGGAGAGACAAACACACACATGAACAAACAGGATCCTGTGGACATGTTTTAGAGGAGAGATGTCAGAGTGAGGCTGCTACACAGGGAGCACACCAGAGCTAGAGGGAGTTCAGTGTCTTGCTCAAGGGCACTTTCTCTGCAGTACTCTTGAAGTGACTTGACACCTCTCCAGCTACCAGACCAACTTCCCCAAGTCCCTACAGACCGAGCTACTGCCGCCCCTAAAGGGAGGTCACCTCACATGCATGTACAGAGCGTGTCACAACGGCTACAAAACTGAATATCTGAAGCTGTTATTAAGTCACAAACAAGTTTTGGACTAACAATATTGACTCTCTCCTCATCTTCAAATCCAGACTCAAAACCCATCTGTTCAAGATCGCCTCCTCACTCTAACATTTTAACTGTAATTACACTGTCCTACATTTCATTTATTTTATTGTATGCTGATTTTATCCATCGTTGTTTTTTAAATGTTGATTGTTGTACAGTGTCCTTGTGTGTTGTGAAAGGCGCTTATAAATAAAATGTATTTAGTATTATAGTAGTTTATTAGTTGAGGATTGCAGCTGTCTATTCTTTTCAGGATGGGGGACACTGATGAGTTACTTACATATGTATATAATTACTTTAAAGGCTAATGTGCTGCAGGAATTTCCTCTACAGGACATGAATTGAGAATTGCAAAAGAGTACTGGTCCCATCACTGACTTTTCAATGGTCTGTCCTTCAGAGGGGAAGAGGGTTGGGGGTCAGGAGGTTTGCATCAGCAGACCAGAGAGTGCACTTTCTTCAGCAAAGGAAACACCACAGACACATACACACATCTAAAGAAAGAATGCTCTGAATTCTTTAAAGATCATTTTGTATCTTTGTCGATGAAGCCGGCGGTTTGACTTGATGACAGATAAAAACACAGATGATTAATTGAGAGGCCGCAAGCAGCTGACCACTCTTTAAATAGTTTTACATCAGAGGCGTTATCCTCCTCTGGTTTCCATACAGTACATAGGAGCCGCGTTCTCACCTGAGGGAACACCTGGGCGCTTGTTAAAGTGTCTTAATTTCCTTAACAGTTATGTGATGATAGGGAGCAATCAGGAGAGGCTAACGACTCTCACGAGATGATGGTCCAAACAATTACAGATCCCTGATCATGTGTAACAGTTATATTTGCACACATATATATGACTTAATTTAAACAATGCAAACCCCTCTGCGGCACGGGAAATGGCCGTCTTGGTAATTTTAAATCATTCATAAATGTTCCAGCGTTTTGACTGCTTGTGTAAAACGATGATTCTGCTGACTTGTTGTTAGTGACAGCAAATGAAAATAAGCATGTTAATTCACTCTGACACATTTGGCACCAAGTATTCTTATCAGAGGCTTTGTGTGAATTCAGTGTGTCACAGATATTGTTTACAGTTTGTCAGGATGGTGACAAAATAATGATTTCCTTCAAGCAGCGAGAAATTTATGAAGCTCAAGTCAAAACTCCGGTCAGTGCATTCTTTTAAAATCTATGACATCACACCTTTTCAGGAAGAGAAGTTCACATTTGAACTGTAATGAGCCGTTCAAATTCAAAATATAGTTTATCAGCGCATCAGGCGGTCGGAAGTAGTTTGCAAAGTGATCCAGCAGAGGGCGCTGTTGACCATTGCATGCACTCTTATAAAGACGGTAATGTCGGAGGAGCGGAGGAGATTCAAGCTAAACATGAGGGCGACTCGTCTCTCTGCAGACAGCAGCTCACTGCTTTTGTCGAGAGACACACCTGCAACTCTCCAAGCTGGCTCGCAACTATTAGTGCGTACCAGGAGTGTCTGTGAGCTCTGAACGGGTGTTCTCATCAGCAGGTAATATTGCAAATAAAAAGAGAGCTGCACTCGATCCCGATCGAGTTCATAGACTCGTGTTTCTTGCAAGACATTAAAAAAAAAAGTTTGATAGTCGTATCGTCAAGATGAAGCTGGTTTGAAACTCTTTATTGTCATGAAAATGTTTTGTGTCTGTGGGGCGATGGTATCGAGGAGGTGGTTGAATGTGATTGAACAGTAAAATACTCCACCGAGCGTTTTTTTCTGAGTGCCAGCTTCTTGTTTTCAATGAATAGAGAGCGTTTGCAGCAGAAAGCGGACGCCTGGAGAAAAGCGTTTTTTTCTTCTTCTGAATGCTCCGCCTTTTTTGTGCGGCTGCTCCGAATGCTCAAGTTGAAAATCTTTTAACTTTTCTTAGGCGCTGTTGACGTCACCGGCACTCTTTTCCAAATATATAATATAATCAGTATTTTTTTGCCGCCTACAGATCAGTAACGGAGCAGTGTCGGTCATACAGCAGCCGTTATCAACAGACTGTTGTCATGGAGACAGGATGTGCATTTTCTAAATTTGCTTTAATTTTTTTGTATGACAGCCCTTCACCTCTACAGTCCGTGTGCATCAACAGGTTTGGCATGTTTTTCAGTGTGACCTTGTTCAGGTCTAACGAGCACATGAGCTCTTTAGCAGAAATGTCTCGCTGTATATTCGGCCCCGGTCCCAAGAGGGAGAATAAACACCGGGCAGGGTCGACGTTTCCTTCACCTGATACCAGGGTTATGTCTTTGTGCAAAACGAGGTAAGGTGATCTCATTGTGCTCCTCGTCAAAGATAAAGAGTACTTTTTTTAATTACAACCCGTTCTCCTAACGAGCCGTGGAATTAAAGTATTTAAAGAAAAAGTGATGCAACCCAGAGATGTAAACATGATACCATGTCCCAACTCTTTAACTTTGAGAGTTTAACAATATACCTCCACATTTATAAAAAACAACAAGGTCACTGAAACGACAGAAAGAGATAAGGCTTACCGTAGATGCCGGTGGATATACACGGGAAGGCCTGTGTGGAGAGAGAGAGAAAAAAAGGAGTCAACATTAAAACAAGTTCACATCGATGCAGTAAATAGAGCAGCCGGATTAAACGGAACAAAACAGCAGTCGCTTTTTATAAACCTCATTAAGCAACAAAATCAGGCTTGGTCCATTTCAGTGAAGACGTTTCAAATCTAATTAGTTTTCTTTCTACCAGTCCTTCACTTCTCTTTAACACTCATCGTGTCTATTCACGGCTCTACATCAGTCTGAAAAATCTTCATTAGCGCACAGTTTAGTCTAGTCTAGTTTACAAAGAATTCAACGGTTTGGCTCCTCTGACCTGCTCACTGACTACCGACCAATCAGATCCCTCAAGTCAGCAGGTGCAGGTCTGCTGAATTTACCTACAGTCAGAATTGAATCTGGTCATTAAGCCTCTGTGGTGTGTGTGTGTGTGTGTGTGTGTGTGTGTGTGTGTGTGTGTGTGTGTGTGCACGGTTGGTGTATGGTCATCTGCATCAAACTGTTTTCATTAATTGATGTTTCTGTTAACCTTTGCAGCTTTTATTCCCAAAACCCAACGCTATTACAGGTGTGACAACCCCTGAACCAATCAGTGCTCCTCCGTCTGCCTTGTCTCTCTCTCTCCATCCCACCAAGATTGCCCTCAGGAAGAAAGGGGCGGAGCCTGTTAATTTTGATTTCATGCACCTGGGCGGACTGGGCCTCGGTATTTAAACTGGCTTCTCAGGTCTGGGTCAACACATAGGTGCTTTTTGTGTGACCTCAAACAGTTTGTGTACGAAAGGCCAAAACAACGTTTTTAAAATTACCGGCCAACGTCTGGACTAGGCCTCAGACTCTGTCTCTCTCTCTGTCTCTCTCTCTCTCTCTGTCTCTCTCTCTCTGTCTCTCTCTGTCTCTCTCTCTCTCTCTGTCTCTCTCTCTCTGTCTCTCTCTCTCTCTCTGTCTCTCTCTGTCTCTCTCTCGATCTCTCTCTGTCTCTCTCTCTCTCTCTCTCTGTCTCTCTCTCTGTCTCTCTCTCTCTCTCTCTCTCTGTCTCTCTCTGTCTCTCTCTCGATCTCTCTCTGTCTCTCTCTCTCTCTCTCTCTCTCTGTCTCTCTCTCTGTCTCTCTCTCTCTCTCTCTTTCTATCTCTCTGTCTCTCTCTCTCTCTCTCTCTCTCTCTCTCTCTCTCTCTCTCTCTCTCTCTCTCTCTCTCTCTCTCTCTCTCTCTCTCTCTCTCTCTCTCTCTCTCTCTCTCTCTGTCTCTCTCTCTCTCTCTCTCTCTCTCTCTCCCTGACACACATTCACACATTCTCTATAGCAATCACAGCATATTTACAGACTGCAGATCCTTTTTTGTTTTGCAGTGAGTTCAATAAATTATTGTGTAAATTACTTTAAAAACTGTTTGGTCTCCCTGTTACTCCAGATCACTGAGCAGGGCTGTATTATATAAAATATAATCCTGCTCTCATCTGCATTTAAAACTTCTTTCAGACAAAACCCACACAACCACCACCACCAACCGACGCCAAACCACCACGACCGCCGTCCTCTTTCATGCACGGCCTGCTCCGACCTCGAGTGTGGACAACAGGAACGAGAGGAATACAAAGGAGAAATCCTTCCTGCATATTATCACATATGCTCTTTTTGTAAAGCGTCTAAGATAACACTTGCTATGAATTGGAGCTATACAAATAATGATCGATTGATTTTGTGAGTGTGTGTCAAATCTTATCGTGTCCAATCATATCGCACACATCCGATGGATTACCACGATCACACTCGAGTGTTAAAAAATGAAAAAATCAGATCATGTAACTGCTGCACTAATTTTCATGAAGGCCTTTTTAATCACTCCATCCCTGAAACTTAATGTCCATAAAAGTTGTAGTTTGTGAATTCAGCTCGAGGGAACATTTCATCGGAGTCGTGTGAATTCATAAAAAAAACACGGCGAGCTTTCTGCCTAATAATCTACAGCACATGAATATCCAAACGAGGCCGATTGATCCCGTCTGTCGCCTGCAGCACACATCGCCTGCACAGCCCTCCTCATCTGCTGATTTTTTAAGGAACTCAAAGGACTGATTCAAATGAAGCTTCGACGTGTCTTTAATCTCGTTTGGATGTTTGCATAGAGAGATTTCAGTATGCTGAAAGTTGCCGCGGTGACTCTGCTGGGGGTCAACAACAAAGAGGACATGGCAGCAGGAGGGTTTTCAAATGATGAGGAAAAAAATCAGAAAATACCTGGATCGATAGGCGGGGATCAATAAGATCCCTGCAGCCACACAGAAGCAAACGAGACAGGCAAGAGAATCAGAGGAGACGTTGGAGATAAGAGCAGAAATATGTATATTTATGGTTGTCTTTTCCAGAAAGATTATAAAATGTAACCACCTCGTAATAGTTTTTGCTTTGCAGCAATTTGCAGCAGCAGACGAATTATTCACACGTGGCTTTAAAGCTGAAAATAGTTTCATTATTCTTCACTTTCTGTGAGCGGATAGATGATGATACATCGGCCTCGCTGTAAGCTTCCCCCCGTTCCACATTCATCTTTTTAAGTGTATTAATAAACAGTAAAAAGGGAAAAAGGATTTTATCCACAGGTCCCATTTGTCCTCAGAAAGCAGCTGAATACGAGCTTTGCTGCGGCGTGCATTCATCACAAGGCGTGGTCCAAAACATGAATAACAATAAGATGACAAATTAAAAGAAAAAAGGATGTTTCCACAAGTGGATGAATTTAGAGCAACAAAACGCTCCAGAGATTCATCACCAAAAAAAACCCCAAAAAATATGTCAGATTCTCCACCGTGCCAAAGCAACGCCCAACAGTTTGTTTTTTACCACACTGACCCTGTCGAGTTGTATTTAGAAACATGCTGCTACTGCTGGCAGCTGTGCCAAAACCACTTCATCTGAGAGCTTTAAAAAACACAATTAGCAGATCTGAAAGAGGAAACAAACAAAAACACACGTCGACCCGGTGTGATGGTGATGAAAACATGTTTGCAGGGGTCTCGTCTTTTTTTTCTCAGAGAGAATCAAATAAACTCAATCCCCACATGAGAAAAGCAAATCATTGATTTAAAAGGCTGATGAAATATGTAGACGTTTGGGGCCCTCTGAAAGCCTCCTCACCCCTGACACCCACTTTGAAAACGCAGCGGCCCGTCTGTCCTTGCTGCGAGGAGCGACTGAGCCTCTGTTTGTATTCTTATTTACCAGTATTCAGGTTCCGCCTGTCAAGGTGAATCTTCCTTCTGTGGGATGATTTAAATCTTTTACAGAAGCATTGACCTTTCCAGATGACTGTCTGGGTCTGACACAAACCACGGATGATGAAGCGTGGAGAAGCATGGCCATTTTTAGTCCTGCGGAGAGGTTTCTGCCACGGCACAAGAAAAAAGAAAAATACTGAGGGAGGCCGACGGTATCTCAAAAGAAATCACAACTCAGTGCAAATGTAAAGATATATTTGAAGAGATTTCTCTTTAAAAATGTGACTTCAGTGAAGCAGAAATGAAATTCAAAAGCCTCATTTAGGTGTTCTTCTAATCTGCAGACTCGCTGAGCGGCGCTCGTGTTATTTAGCCCCAGAGAGAATCTCGATACTTTTCAGCGACTCTCCCAATAATGTCAGCTCTCATTTGGCAACAGTTGATACAAGCAGGAATGGAGATTTACGGGTGAGGAAAGGAATCTAATTGAAGCTGTGTGATAATAAGAAGAAAGTAAAATGAATTTAATCTTCAGAGGAGATGAGCATTATTTCCTGTCAGTGCTTCCAACGAGGCCTCGGCTGCCAAACTGAACCGGCGCCAGATGCTTTTGTTATTCTGTCTCGACTGAAAGGCCACCAAGTCGCTCTCTTCAACTTGAACTCCTGCGACTAAACCTCCACACACCATCCGCATAATCAATTAAAATCTTTATTTTATTGGTTCTCCGGATGATACATAAAAACGGGTATCGATCTGTGTGGTGTGAAAAAGAAGCGTTGTGTAATCACTTAAGGGGACGCCGTAAAGATCGGACACCTCTGCAGCTCGTGCAGACGTCACTTTCTGCTTTTTAAAGGACAGTTATTGCTCAGAGTGAAGAGAAGTATATCTCCTATAAAAAGTGTAATGCAGGGAGAAAGTGTTGGCAGACATCTTTTTTTTTCATCAATAAATCAGCCACACAGCAGGCAATAAATTACAGATGATAAATGTATCTCATAATGCTGTCGGTGAGCGCCGGCAGCAGCGATGGATATCAGCTTCAGTTTCTGTTCAGATGAAAACTTTGTCCTGAAATCTAAAGCAGTGTGAAGCAACGCAAAGTTATATTATTATTTATTCACAGCAGAAGTATCTGAATTAGAATAGAGACGTGGTCACCCTCACTCGTCAGCACCAGAATGTTAGATCTTGATGTCGGTCACATGATGCTCTCAAACTGTAACGCCTTCACCTGATTGGCTGTAACTCCGGCTAACAAGCCTTCTCATCTGGTTCTATCAGTGGTGTAGTCAAGACCACACTAACCGAGACCAACACATACCCGAGACCAGAGTGATCCGAGACCGAGGCCAAGACCAAGACCAGAAAAATCATCACCTTGTGTGCAGGGGGCGTGTCACTCCGGGGGATAAAAATCAAACTACAAATGAATTTAAGTCAGTAAGAGCAAACGATCAGCTTTGAGTCTGATTGGACACACAGGTGCTGACAGGAAGTGACCAGAGGCAAAGCACAACATTGAGGGCAGTTCTTGAGAGCTCTAATCAGTATAGAAACCATCTTATAAGTCGTCATTATCAAACAAAAACCATCGTCATTACCATCATCATCATCAATAATATGGAGACCATCATCATCATCAATAATATGGAGACCATCATCATTAAGTTAGTAGGTATTCATAAAGAGCTGGGTCTTTAGCTTTTTCTTAAAGGTGCAGAGGGACTCTGCAGAGCCAATGGAGTTTGGTAGTTGTAGCTGTGTTGAACAGCTACAGTCCG